GATGGAAGGCCTGAGTCCAGCCAGCATTTCCTACAGGTGAGGGGGACGTAGTGACAGACAGTAAGCAGGGGACAGATCGGGTCTCCCCTTTGTCTTAGAAGGTCATGAAGGCAGCAGTGTGGAGGCTGAGTGGGAGGGAGATGGAGTAAAGGTCTGGGAGCATACTATCCCGAAGGATAAGAGGATTGCCGAGCCACGGCCTGGGCCTGGGAGGGAACACAGCTCTGAAAGGGGTGAAGGCCCTGTGAGACCTGGTGAAGATAAACTAGGTGTACTCCAGGTGAGCGGAGACCTGGACTACTGAATTATTGAACTGAATTAAACAGGATGCCAGGGCCAAAGGCTCAGGAAGCAGTCCTGGCTGACTGGACAATGTCTGGTTTCTGAATTCAGGGAGGCTGAAAACCTGCTAACTTCACTAGAGAAATCTGAGGCTACAGGGATTATATCACAAGACTAACTGTATTATACTTGGTAACAGAATTACAGCTCAAATGCTAAATACCACGTAGCAATCCCTAGGCATGGAATCTCTCTGAGGTAAGGCAGCATCAAAACCAAATGAACATCTGAAGTCACCCAGGAACCTATTTCCTACAGAAGACCCCAAAGAAATATAGGATACATCTTCCCCTCCAAGGACCTTGTAATCTTATTGGGGACCTAAAACACTAGACATAAATATAAGAAAGGATATAGAAGATGCTTACTTAAATCCATCACAAAATAAAATCCAAATAGGAAGTGGAAAAGAGAAATATTAAGATCACTGTTAAGTGAACCTCTTCAGAGGGCACCACCCAACAGTGGTTGGTGACCTCAGGGTTGGTTGAACCCCAGCACACAGCCCTGTGGACCATCACTTCATAGAACCGGTGTCAGGGAACAAGGACATCGAGGCCTTCCGTTAATGAGAGAGAAAGAACATGATGTACATAAAGGAAACAGAACTAAGACAACTGAGTCAGCAGTATCAGGAGATGTTTTCTAATGGGATTTATATGGTCTAAAAGGGAAAGAACAGGGAAGGCTGGCAGATATCCATGAGGGAAGCTGACAAAGAAGGCAGAACTATAGTTCTTCCAAATCCACCGAAGGGAAATAAGGTAAAAACCATTATTAACAAGCAAATAAGAATAAATAAATCAAACGTCTGTCCACTTCCCTGCCCTCACCTGCGTCCTCAGCCTCCTATCAAGGAGAAAGCTAGCACAGACGGACAGCGAAGCGCTTAGGTACAGCAAGCTGTAGGAGGGCAATCTCCTCTGCGTAAGGGACGACCGGCATGGTTGTCGGACGAGAGCTCCTGGACAGGTGGATGCCACTGTTTCATTGCCAAGTGCCTCTTAAGGAGGGGGTGGGCTGCTATGAACGTGTTAGTAGACTTGGGTGTTTTCAAATCTAACGTTTGAGTTTTTGAACCTAAAGCCATTCACTATTTCCAAGTTCGCCAATCTCTGAAAGCAGAGCAAATATGAGGCACCTTAGCAATTATACTCTGAGCTCAAGGCAAAGGTTCTCCTGACCCCATTGTGGCTGAACAAACTTCCAAAATACGTGCCAAAGCATTTATCTTATAAAAATACTTATCCTAAAATGTGGCAAAATGAGGTTAGGGAGAATGATTCAATGGTACCCGGCTTCGTTTTTAATGACAGTGAAAGAGACAGGAGATTTAAACGCTACGATTTAAGAGTGAGTTGACCTAGTTGCTATTTAACAAAAGAACTACTTGACAAATCCAACCCTGTCTCCGACTTCTGTGCATGGTATCTAATTCTTCACGACCCTAAATTCTTGCTGTGTCTCTACAGCATGTGACGTGACCCAGTACTGTTTCTCGCCGACTGCTGCTATGGCACCCTGAAAGTATTCTAGATCACTAGTCTTTGAAAAACAAACGTTAAGGCATATTTTGAAAGTTTTACTGAAAGAATTGCAGTGAACAGTCATCCAACTAAAATCCTGTTGTAAAATAAGTACAAGGTACTGGAGACAATCATTACAAAAGAGCACAGAATGAATAATTTTCATTTAAGTCATTACTTTCAATCTTTATGGAGAAAGAGCGATCACTGTAAGGTCCCACTTTAAAGGATCACAAATCATACAAAAAATGAATAAGAGATAATAAGTACCAACTACATTAATGGTGCTTATAATTTTATATAAGGTGAAACTGGTTATTAATGAGTTCTTCAATATACGACTTCTCTTTATGAAACTATTCAAAGAAATAAAATGATGAGGATTTTTGGAAAAGACCATATAGCCTGAGGTTTAGATTATGCCTTTTCCATTACTTTTGACAAGCTGTCGAAATTCATATTCTCTGCTGCAATTTATCGACGGCTTTGGCAGAATATGCTGTAAAGGGGAAGTTACAGAAGACTGCGACTTTCTGTATTAGAAAAAAGGAAGAAAGATCTATTCTTAGGGGGCCTAGAGTAACATTAAAGATAAAAGGTGGAAACAAACTGCTCATTCTTGCTTCTCATTTAGAATAAAATACCGTAACTACTTTTCTTATTTCCAAAGAAACTCCCGCACTAATTACATCATTGCCAATCCACACAGGAGATGAGTTAAACCAAAGCTAATACTAAACAGGCATGTATGTTATCCAAGCAAAGCAACGTCCACTATTCCAATGCCTTCATCCCTTTTGTCAATAATAGAGCATACTTCATCCTCATTCAATGAGAAATATAATCTAGAAGGCATTAGCATACAATGAAATGATGTAACAGTAATAGATAATGTTTACTAAGCACTTAACTATTTGTCATGAACTGAGCTAAACACAGATTACCTAAAAAAATGAATTAAACCCTCATGCTAGACAATCCTATGGAGTACTATTAGATATTTTCATTTTACATATAAATAAGTAAACTATGGCTTAGCAAAACTAAGTGGCCACATTACTATTAAGTGGTAAATCAGATGACATGACGAATGAAGTATTTGAAGGGAACCATAATTAGGGACAAGAATGAGTATTCTCCAAGGCTAGAAATAAGTTCTTGGTTGGATACTATGGAAATATCTGGTCTTAACACACTGCATAGCATTAGCAGAAGACTTTACAATAATAGCAACTGTATCCCTCAATCATTAAGAGTAATCATTAAGAGTAATTATTGTTATGTATTCCTTATAGGTAGATTTATGCAAATAGATGAACACAAAATAGGAATGAAGAGTCAACTGGATTCTGGAAGTAAGAAACACGTGTGATGTGGAAGAATATTATTAGTTTTATGAAAATGTGAAAAATTTCAGTGATTCTTAATGGAGGCACCACTGGCACTTAACATGTGTGCATGTGTGTTTATCTTGTATGTGTACATGCACACACATGCATTTATATAGGGGACAATTCATTCTTTGCTGTACACTGCTGTCCCATGCGTCATAACACATCTAGCATCCTTAATCCCCACCCACAAAACACCAGAAGTTCCAATGCTTGTGACCACTCAATATACCTCTGCACATTGTCTGCTGACTTGGACTGAGAACCATTGATTGTCAGACAAAAATACTAAGAGAAGTAATTGACATTAATTGCGCATCGTGTAGGAGATACTCTTAAGTGCATTCACACATATTCACTTAATACCCATAAACCTGTATGAGGTAAGTACATATTTTATCCCCATTTTACAAATGTGGATCAGAGAAAGGTTAAGTAACTCAACTAAGGACACACAGACACTTCTGAAGCCAACAATCTGGCTCCAAAACTACACTTCCCTGGGTTGATCTTTTAAAACATAGCAGCGTGATAGGCATGCCTTTCCTTTCTTTAAAGAGGTTCATTCAGAAAATACAAGTCCTTGTAAGTAGGACCCACCGTGCGCATGTCATTATGAACAAGGGATAGAATGGTTCCCTTGCTTGGGGGTGAGGGGCCATATGTTCAGTTGAGGGACAGTTATATGATGTAGGTATCAAGAGTTGGGCTGGGTAGTTCCTATGCACAAGTATATATTAGAAGAGCTTTGACCGTATGGGGATGTGTGTGTGTGTTTAGGGAGAAAGGAGAGTTGTGCTATATTGAGGTTTATGTGTTTTATGTATCACTTCCACAGTATTTACTATGCACCAGACACTGCTACAATTGCTTGACGATATCTCATTTCAGCATATGTGTTAGATGATGAACCAGGCAGAGTGTGCACTGTGTGATACGCAGTGGGCTGGTGTTTGTATAGCAATGTGCACAACAGGTGACAGGTACTGGCTGCGCTGGAAGGGGAAAGGTCAGCTTTGATAGGTGTCTACATCATTTGTGTTGTGGTATATAGATAGTCCTGTTTCAGGCTGGGGGAAGGGTTATGCTAGATGGTCTGTGTGCCACACTTACAGGAGGTGCTGCATGGGAAAGGCTGTGTAGTGCAACTCACATGTGCATTTTGTGCATGGCCCGTAGTGCTGAAAACTGGAGGCTATCCAAGGGAAGGGATCCAGGTTGTGCCCTGGGCCCGTGTATGGTACGTGGAGACGCTGTGGACCGGTGTGCTTTCAGCCATGTAGCGGTATGTGCTGAAAGTGGTGCATAGGAGATGATTCATGCGGTGTGCTGGGTAGGGACGGGGGCTGGAGAGGAAGGGGCCGTGTCGTGATGTGTGCGGGGAGGATGCTCGGTGCGATAGGAGAGATGGGGATCGCTCTAGGTGACTCGCGAGTACGCCTGATATGGCCCAAAGCGCTGTACAGGAGGGGGTCGTATAGGGTGGGGGGTGAGGGTGGGGGTTGGAGGGTAGGGCCAACGCCAGTCCAGAGGAGCTGTAGGGCAGAACTAGCTGCGTGTGCAGTGAGACACCGGGCCGGTGGAGGAACTGACGGGTGGAGGGTCTGCGAGGGTGTACGTGGAACAGCCAGCCGGATTCCTCACGCAGAGCTACACTGGCCCATGCTCCTCACCACCGCCTCCCGCCGGCCCCTTCCCTTCGCCCAAGGGCGCTCCCTCCGCGCGGTTCGGCCCGCCTCACCGGGTGAAGGCGAAGTACATGAGGCTGACGATGGTGAAGCTGAGCAGGGTGATGGTGTGAGGCCGGTAGAAGAAGTCGATGGTGATGTCCTCCACTTGCTGCTCGTTGATCATCCGGAAATGCATCTTGTAGTTCACATCATCTTTGCTCAGGGTCCGGCTCCCCACGCAGGACGCCATGGCCCGCCTCCCCGTCCTGCGGCGGCGGCGGCGGCCCCGGCCCGTGAAGGCTGGGACCCGGGAGGTGACGAGCCGCAGCGAGCGGGCAGCCGGACGGCGGGGCCGAGTCTGGCGCGGAGCACAAGCTGGGAGCCCAGGGAAGGACAGGCGCGGGAGGGCGGGGTCGAGGCGCCGCCAACGCGGACTCGGGCGGGGGGCGGCGCCGGCCGTGCCCGCGCTGGCGTTCCAGCAGAAGCATCTCTACGGACTCGTGGTATTTCAGATGACCAGTGGCCAAGGCCTAAGGGAAGTGGCGTGCGAGAGAAGAGAAGCTGTGGCCCCTGGCCGGCTCTTTTCCCACCGCTTGCCGCCCGCTCTCCCCCCGCGCAGCCTCGCAAATAGTCTCGCCCACTCCGGCCGCAGTCCACGTGGGCGAGGGTGCGCGGCGGCGGTGGCCGGCAGGGGTGGCGGGGCTGGCTGACCAGCTGGCGTGGGGTACTGCGGGACGGTCCGCCGGGCCAGCCTGGAGGCCACCCCAAAATAAACCGCGAGCTTGGGCCTCGCCACAGGTAAAGCGGGAGCCGCCGGAGCGCGAGGGGCGCGCTCCTGGTGGGGTTCGGGTCCGGATCTGCCCACGTCCAAGCCGCACCCGGGGCCTCAGGGCTCTCGGGTCTCCGCGACCCTATCGGGGGCAATTAGTCTTGTTTTGTTTTGTTTTTTTCCCTGGTCGACGACGCGAAATCTCAACCATGCTTGTCTATTAGCGTGTTTTGCGGAAGGAAGCCTAGCTCGTCAGCTGGCTTCCTGCGGAAGTTCGCTATGGAGGCTTGTTAGGAGAGGCCCCTTATAACGAAGCCTTTCTCCCATTCACCCCTTTTCCACCTCCTGATTTCGCTAATTAGCCTTACAGAGGTAGAAATCTTGAACCCTGGAAAAACAGTACTTCAGTCCCAATTACTATTCCTAGCGAGGAACTAGAGCAAGAAGTAGTGTGTGATATTTTAATGGACTTTACAGAATTCTTTAAGGCTTTTTTCTTTGATCTTACTGAAGTTGTGTTATATTTCCTGTTACCAGTACGCTGGATTTTATGCACGTCTGCAAGCGCCTTACCCTCTTTTGAATACCGAGCTAGACAAATAAGTTAGCCGTAGTTGGAACTGACTCACTTCCATCCAATACACATTGGAGCAGTGCAAGGCTCTGGGCTAATGGGAGGGTGGGTCGAGAGAGGGGACCCATCCCAGCTCCCATGACCGAATAATTCATCAATTGTTAAAAGGTATCTATAGCAATGAAATGTTGAGGAAGAGAGGTTAGTGCACTTGTAAATACAAATGGGATAAACATTAGTTGTACTCAAAAGGTCTTGTAATGAATGTGGGTGGAATTCAAAAGCTCATCTGCGCGATATGTGAGGCTGGAAAGTCTTTACAGTGAATGTGGGATTTAAGGAGTTTGCTTTGAAATCAAAGTAGTATGAAATGCTTCGACAAACTTAGAAGTCAAAAAACATTTTAGAGCTGCTAGGGACTTTAAGAATCATCTTACTGTACCTATAACCTTTAAAAAAATGTTATTTAAAGAATAGTTATTGAACCCCCTTCATGGGCCAATTTGCCCAGCACCACAAGAAATAGTCTTGTCAACTAGCACAACCGAGGCCTTCTGGCTTCCAGTTTAGTTCCCTTATGACTTTGTGCAGAGAATCAATGTTGTAGGTTTTAGTGGAAACTTGACAGATTTGGAGGATCATTTCCTACCAGAATTTAACAAAAAGCACCAATCCCGCAAGGTTCTTGTGCATACTTATTTCCTTTCTAAAATCCTTTCAGAATGACAGACTTTGACATTTGTAAATCTCTTTCAGGAAATTTCCCTAAACTACAAATCTCCAGAAGGAGGTTAGACCTTCAATATCTGCTCTAATTCAGATCATAAAACAAGCTGAATTCCAATATGTAGAAAAACAAGAAATTGTATGCTGCAATTAATTCAGAATTCATTTCTGTTTGGATGTGTAATCAATAACAGTGATAATGGCTAACATTTGTTGAGCATTTTCCATATGCTGGACTCCAGGCTTTGTTTTATGTGGATTATCTTATTTAACATAAAATTATATGCAGCAAGTCTACTCTTCTAATGAAGCTGGATGTAGACAAGATTTCTTCATAATTTCCTTATAAAAATCTTTTTTAAAAACCACTGTTTTTTCAGTAAAAATATTCATGTATTCATTGCTGGTTGCATATGTATTTCTGTCACTTCATTTTGCTTGCTAGTTTTGACCTTTTGTTTTTCAAGGCTTTTCTTTTTCTTTTTCTATAACCAAAAACAAAATTTGACAAAACTGGTTTTGTTCAATTCCCTTTTGAGGAACAGCTTTATCTTAACAATGTTCAGCCCTGAGAATAAAGCGAGAAACAATCTTCTAGATAACAGTGATAATATTTTGATAATTCATTTAGGACAAGGTAGATTTTTTTATTGTTTTTTATTTTGTGACTAATGTACATACATAAAATGCATTTGAATAAGTCAGTGTTTTGATTAACAATCTGCTTCTTAAGTGTCTTTCAAACCAAATTTCAAGAACACTTAATATCACTTTATTTCCTCTAAATATTACATAAACAGATTATTGGGTTCAGCTGTAATTTAAACATTTACAGATTTTTGTTTTAAGTGTTTTTCTTATACCAATGATTTTTTTTTTTTTTTAATTGTAAAGCAATCTTTATTTTTCCAGTTCAGAAGTTCCTGTCTTTTGGTTTATACCTGGGACTGCTTTGCTTATGGCTTTTCTGGTGCTTAGGAAACATCTGACTAATCATCTAGATTTATTAAACATCTTTCAGTTAGAAAAAAGATTCTCCAGTTTATCATTTTGTTGTTTGAATACTGTTTTAAACATTTAAGTAAAGTAAGTTTCTCTCTTTTGACTGTTACATATTTCCTTTGTAGCCTACTTTAAGAAAGATGGCTTTGTCAGCCCAACAGATACCCAGATGGTTCAATTCAGTTAAGTTGAGTAGCTTCATTACAGCTACACAACTCGGAAAACAGTTTCAGAGACGAGGAAAAACATTGTCGCATGGCTTTTCTGCTCAGCCACAGGTGTCCTCTGACAATTGCTTTCTCCCGTGGGGATTTAAGACTTATAGGACTTCCTCCTTGTGGAATAGTTCCCAGTCTACGAACTCAAGTAGGCAAGAGATTAGTTCTGCCCAGAGTGCTCTGCTTCCTTCCGTCAATGAGCAGACACAGAAGACACAAAAGATACCCAGCTTTGATTCTGAGCTGTCTCTAGAAGGTAATTTTGAACTTCCAGAAAAGTCCCCTTTGCCCCACTTTGTTAGTTTGAACAAGTTAACTGTTTATAGTCTGTTAGCCCATTTCAAGTTATAACTTTGTACCACACAAGGAAAAGAACAATGCTGGTTCTGTTCATTTATTTCTATTATATCTTTGACTAAAAAAACAAGTTCATAAATTTGTGTATATATACACATATATATGTATATATATCATTATAGCTAGCTATATGTATAACAGTTGCTTTCTAAAAACTTTATTATTTAGAATCTTTATAAAAAAATTTTCAGGTGGTAATTAGGTTTATTAGGGAATAATTTATCCTAATTTTATATGCCTGATTAGGATATAATTTTATCCAATTAAAATTCATTGCTTTTGAATATACAGTTTTACGAATTTTGACATACACATTTAGTTATATAACAGCTCCCATAATCAACAAACCAAAAAGAGCACAAATGGGACACCCCTGAAAGCACCGTTGTGTCATTTTTTAGTCAGTCCTCTCCCTTCTATGTTTTCTATTTTAGGAATATTTCTGTAAAAGGAATATTTCACCACAATGAGGTAATATTAGGTTAAGCAGAATATGAAAGAAAGATAGCTGGGTTGAGGAGGGCAGGGAGGAAAGACTGGCTATACGAAATAAGAAAGGGTAGTGTTATGAAGCAAAAAATGGAACAAAAAAATCATAGTCTTGATTCTTTAGCTTAAGGTTGGTGACAGTTCCCAGTGTCTTCCATACCTTGTTTGGTTTAAAGAAAATATCAGAATCAAGACTATACCAGAGAGGGTCATGTCCTTAGGGAAGGACTACAGGTGATAGAAACAGAGTCACAGAAGTCCTTTGAATTTTTTTTTAATGTTTATTTATTTTTGAGAGACAGAGCATGAGCAGGGGAAAGGCAGAGAGAGGAGACACAGAATCCGAAGCAGGCTACAGGCTCTGAGCTGTCTGTCGGCACAGAGCCCAACACAGGACTCGAATTCACGAGCCGTGAGGTCATGACCTAAGCTGAAGTCAGACGCTTAACCAACATACTTGAGAATAACTTGGAGGAAAGGGGATTGCATCAAAAGACATTTCAGGGGGCACCTGGGTGGCTCAGTTGGTTAGGCATCTGACTCTTGATTTCGGCTCAGGTTATGATCTCACGGTTCATGAGATCGAGCCCCGTGTTGGGTTCTGCACTGACAGTGTAGAGTCTGCTTGGGATTCGCTCTCTCTCTCTCTCTCTCTCTCTCTCTCTCTCTTTCTTTCTCTCCCCCTCTCTCTTTCTTTCCCCCTCTCTCTCTCTTTCTTTCTTTCCCCCCTTGCTCTCAAAATAAATAAATAAACATTAAAAAAAAAGATATTTCAGGAGATAATGATTTTAACTCATACAAATCAGGCTGGTAGAATATGTTGTATTTTGGTCCAGTTTAACAAGCTATGGTAGAATCTATCTCAAAATATACTTGAAGGTCAGTTGATCTTTAGCATTCTTACCTGTTGATTAAAAGTAAAACAAAGGAAAGGAATTTTGTATAGGACCTCTTTATGAATAGAAACTTACCAACAGATTTCTTATCTTGGAGGAACAGCAGTTGATTTCTCTATAAATAGTCTTAACCTTACCTCTCTGAAGGTGGAAAATATTTGAACTCAGATCTTTAATTCTGAAATGGTTCCAAGATTTAAAAAGAAGGGGTTTAGCTTTAGCTGTACAGACTGGATAGCTAACTGCTTCTTTCTTTCTACATGGCTGGCTTCAAAGCACTGGACGATTTGCCTCCAT